AAAACTAGCTGGACGTCGTGGTAGTGGCCTACAGTCCCAGCTACTCTGGAGGCTGAGGCTAGAGGATCGCTTGATTCCAAGAGACTGAGGTTACTGTGAGCTATAATGACACCATGGACCATGGATCTGTTACTCTACCCGGTAACAGAGTGAGACTCTGTTAAAAAAATAAAAAATAAAAACAGTTATATTAACACGTAATTCACATCCCATATGATTCAACAGTTCAGTGTTTAGTATGCTCATAGTCATACAGTCGTCACCATAGAACATTTTCAGCACCCCCAAAAGGAATGACACCTGTTAGCAGTCACTGCTTGGCCGCAGGCAGCCCCTGGATTAGTCTCTGTAAATTTCCTTATCTGAACATTTCAAATGGGCGGAACCCTATAACACGGTCTTTTGTAACTGGCTTTTTCCCACGTAGCATGAGCTTTGTTCAGGTTGTAGCTTTATCCGTGCTCCATTCCTTCCATGTGAGAGCAGCGTGCCATTCTGTGGATTACCACATTTGTCCCTTTATTAGCTGATAGACATTGCAGTTGTGCCCACTGTTTCTCTATTATGGCTGGGGTCAGGTTCGAACTCGCCACCCTCAGTATATGGGGCTGGCGCCCTACCCACTGAGCCACAGGCGCCACATTTTTGTCTATTAAGAATATCCACAAATGCCGCTGTGAACATTTATGACCAAACTTTTTGAGGACATAAGTTGTTGTTTCTCTTAGTTATGTTTGAGTGGAATTGCTGGGTCGGATTGCTGTTTAACCTTTCATGAACTGCCAAACTCTTTTCCGAAGTGACTGTACCCATTTTACATTCCCACAGTAATGTAGGACTCTAACAATTTCTTCACATCCTTTGCAACCCTTTTTTTTTTTGTTTGTTTTTGGAGACAGAGCCACAAGCTGTCGCCCTGGGTAGAGTGCTATGGCATCATAGCTCACAGCAACCTCCGACTCCTGGCTTAAGCGATTCTCTTGCATCAGCATCCTAAGTAGCTGGGATTACAGGTGCCTGCCACAATGCTCAGCTATTTTTTTGGTTGTAGTTGTCATTGTTGTTTGGCAGACCTGGGCTGGATTTGAACCCACCAGCTCTGGTATATGTGGCTGGCACCTTAGCCGCTTGAGCTATAGGTGCCGAGCCTGCAACCCATGTTGTAATCTATCTTTTGGATCATATCAATAGTTATACTTTGGGGTGTGATATGGTATCTCCTGGTGTTTTGATTTGTGTTTCCCCAATGTCTTACCACGTGAACATCGTTTCTTGTGCATATTGGCCATTTTTATATGTTTTTTGGAGAGATGTATGTTCTCTTCCTTCTTTCGCTTTAAGATTGAGTTTTTTTAGTATTGAATTACAGGAGCTTTATAATCTTTTTTTTTTTTTTTTGATAGCGAGTCTCACTATGTCATTCTGGGTAGAGTGCTGTGGCATCACAGCTCACAATAACCTCAAACTCTTGGGCTTAAGCGATTCTCTCGCCTCAGCCTCCCAAGTAGCTGGGACTACAGGTGCCCACCCCAATGCCTGGCTATTTTTTTTTTTTGTTGCAGTTGTTGCTGTTCAGCTGGCTGGGCTGGGCTGGGCTGGAACCCGCCAGCCTCTGTGTATGTGGCCGGCGCCCTGCCCATTGAGCTATGGGTGCCGCTGCTTTTATAATATTCTAATGCAAATCCCTTATTAGATAAATGAGTTGGAGATATTTTTTCAATTCCCTGGGTTATCATTTTTTTCTCTCCATGATGCCCTTTGAAGCACAGCTGTTTTTAATTTTGATGAGGTCTACTTTTATGTATTTTTTTCTTCCGTAGCTTGAACGTTAGATGTCTCAATGAAGGGGTAAATGTGGTGTATCCATAGAACAGCGCACTGCTCTGCCATGAAAGGAATGGAGCACGGACTTGAGCTACAGCGTGAAGGAAGGTCAGGGTCAGGTGGATTTACACTTCTGGTTTCTTCTGAGGGTTTTATAGTTTTAGCTCTTCTATTTAGGTCTTGGATCTGTTTGGAGTTAGCTTTGAACGTGGTGTGAGGTAGGGGTCCACCTTCTCGCTTCTGTATGTGGATGTCCAGATGTCCACTGGCATTTGTTGAAAAGACAGTTCTTTCCCCGTTGGAGTGTCTCGGCACCCACGTGAAAATCAGTGACCTTTGAAGTGACAGTTAATCTCTGGACTCTGAATTCTGTCCCGTTGATCTGTACGTCCTTCTGTCCTTACAGTAGTGCTTGATTACTGTAGCTTTGTAGTAAGTTTTGAGATGGAGAGTTCGAGTCTTTCTTCTTTGTTTTTCTTTTTTTGGTCCAGGGCTGGGTTTGAACCCACCACCTCCGGCATATAGGGGTGGCACCCTACCCTTCAGAGCCACAGGTGCTGCCCATGTTTTTCTTTTTCAAAATTACTTAGGCTATTATAGATCTTTTGCATTTCCATATTGATTTTAGGATCCACTTGTTGATTTTTGCGAACAAACCAGCTTGGATTTTTGACAGGGATTGCCTTGAATCTGAAGTTCATTTTGGGGAGTATTGCTGTCCTAACGGTGTTCTTTCAATTCATGAACATGAGCCATCTTCCCATTTGTCTTTTATTTCTTTTTAAACTTAAAAAAAGGGACATCTCATAGTTACACATGTTCTTGGGGCACATATGACATTTTGATATGTGTAGACAGTGTGTAATGATCCAGTCAGGGTAATTGGCATATCATCATGGGTCTTTAAATGTCTTTCAGAAGTGTTTAGGGTCAGGTGCTGTGGCTCATGCCTGTAATCCTAGTACTGTGCAAGGCTGAGGCAACTGGATTGATTGAGCTCAGGAGTTTGAGAC